ACTCTGTTATTTTCAGTTTTATACATTGTGCATTATTGATTTTTTATTATTATTTATATATGTTTGACTAACTACAATAATTGTACTATTTGGTTATATGTTTGACTTACTACAATTGTACCTTTTTGTATAAAAAGTAGTTAATAAATTATCTATCTAATGTAATAATCTTATAATAACTTTCTATTTCTTGACAGTTGCTACAAAACTGTTTTTTTTTTTTCAGGAAATGCACATCTTTTGAACTTAAGTCAGAAGCAATTAAAAATTAGATTTCTGTGTGAAGATCATTTTCATGAGAAATATTTGTTTGCTAAGAAGCTTACTAGTACTGCCATACCTTTCAAATATTGTTTCCGCAAAGAGGTTGCCACCACTTCTAAGACATATCCGTCCAGCTCTGATATAGATGTACCTTTACAGTTTAACATAGAATCACTGCCGTCAACCTCCAGAGGTATACATAGCACACCACCAACTCAAACAACTCCAGTCCAAGAGACAATTTTACAGGATATAACAAATCTTCCAATTTTAGATTCTCCAAAAACTAGAAAATTAAAAAAAAAATTGGTGGATATGTCGGAAGCTTTTAACACTATAAAAACAGAAATGAAGAAGCAGAAACTCGTAACCACATGTTTAAAAGATATTAACACATTACGACCATTTCCAAAAGCACTGGTGAGAATGCAATTAAGCCATAAAAAAAGAAGTCGCTGGCTTACTGATGAAAAAACCACTGCATTGTCCATTTTTTATAAATCTCCATCAACGTATAAATTTATGCGAGCCAAAGGAATGATATTACCTTCGATATCAACACTATCAACCTGGCTGAAGTCATTTAACTATAAACCAGGTATTAATAAAAAGTTAATGTGTTGTGTAAAATTAAAAACGGAGACAATGTCAGTGAAAACTAAACAATGTGTAGTGGTATTTGATGAAATGGCAATAAAACAGTGCATCGAATTTTCCAGAGCAAAAGGGTATATTGAAGGTTATGAAGATTTGGGAAAATATGGAAGGAGCCCAAGAATGGCAAAGCAAGCTCTAGTATTTCTAGCAAGAGGAATTTATGCTTCATGGAAATTTCCTGTAGCGTTTTATTTTTCCGCTAATGGTGTATCAGCTGATACATTAAGTGAAATTTTGAAGGATGTTTTAGTAGCATTACAGAATGCAGGATTAGACGTATTAGCTGTAATTTGTGACCAAGCATCAACCAATCAAAAACTGTATAAATCATTGGGTGCTTCTCCAGAAAACCCATATTTTTTAATTAACTCCTCCAAATACTATGCTATATTTGATGCTCCACATATTATTAAAAATATCAGAAATAATTTGCTCCAAGGAGATTTTGTCGATCACAATAATGAAATAATATCTTTTAACTTTATTCGTCAAATATACGAATTAGATAAAAAAAGTCATACAGGTAAATCACTATCAAAATTAACAGACAGTCATATAAATCCTGGAGCATTTCAGAAAATGAATGTAAAATTAGCAGTTCAAGTCTTAAGTCATAGTGTAGCTGCAGCTATCAATACCGCCATAGAAACAGGACAAATGCATGAAAATTCTAAATACACGGCAAATTTTATTGCAATAATCGATTCAGCTTTCGATGCATTAAATAGTAGAAGTGTTATTGATAAAAAAAAATGTAGGTGCTCGTTATCGTCTGAAAATTCCTGGGCTATGGATGCTCTAGATAAAGCCAAAGTAACTATGCTAGGACTAAGTAAGATAGACAAGAAAGGGAATTTAAAAAGGGTAGCATGTTTTGATGGCTTTATCCAAACCATAATGGCAATAAAATTACTTTTTGAAGATCAGCATAACAAAGGTTATAATTTTTTGTTAACTGGTAGGTTAAACCAAGATATAATAGAAAATTTATTTTCAATTTTTCGCCAAAAAGGTGGCTACAGTAGAAATCCAACCGTAAGAATGTTCCAAGCTGCTTTTAAATCCAACTGTGTTGTAAATTTGATGAAACCTCCCAAAACATCAAATACAGAACCGGTTGAGGAATATAATTTATTAGGAGGTGAATTTCCACATATCAGCGATGAAGAATCATCTGATAGTAGTGTCGAACAAAGTTCAACAGACTCGGATATTTCTATTAAAGATAAAATGACTTTAGAAGAATGTGCGGTGGTATATTTTGCTGGATACTTATTTAAAAAGTGTTACGACAAATTTGCTTGCGAGTATTGTAACGATTTATTAAATATCAAAGAATCGTTGGTAGAAAATGCAGACATATTATTGTTTTACAAAAATTATAATATTAACAACCCATGTGCTTTGAAGAAACCTAGTGAACTGCAAAAAACATTTACTAAGATATGCATGACCCAGTTCACTAAATCCTTTAAGAAAAATTCTTTTCGAAGAGATATTTATAATTTCCTTAAAATTAAAATTAAAAATATTGTAGAAAAAAAGTTAAAAGCATGGTATATGTGCCCAAAGGACTGCTGCTGCCATAGAGAATTTATACTCGATTTGTTAATTCGAACATTGCTGTATAAAGAATGTAAGCAGACATCGTCAAATCTTAAGTCAAATTATCAAAGAGGCCAAAAAATACAAAAGCTGCAAATTTTGCAACATAAATAAAATTATAAAATTTTTAAAAGCAGTGCCAAATGATTCAGTAAAACTATTTTTTTTTATTAACCCAACTTTCATGGTGTTGCAGCTTCACCACAAAAAATTGTTATTATAATTACAGTTCATTTTAAAATATATAAAATAAATTTTCTTTTCACTTCATTTGTTGTAACATGATTTTTTCTATTTTATTTAATTAAATAAGAAAATCTTTTTTTTTACGTACTGTTTTTTGTTGGAGATGGTTTTTGTGTGTAATTCAGTTAATTCGAGAGAAAAGGTTTGACCGAGAAACAAGTGCGTGTTTGATTCCTACTCCAACTCCATAATAAATAGACAGCCGCATCAAATTTAAGACATCAGAAGGGTCCTTCAAGACAGTGGTAAACCATCTCCAACTATTTTATTTGCTTATCTAACCGTTTATAGAGTCCACCACTTTTAATAACCGTGGCGTTGTAACACATGGTTTAAGGCAAACATCTGCAGCTGAATCAAAAGATGTTTGAAGTTATAACATGTACTTAGAAAATACCCTGTATATTTATCATAATTGTTCCATCTATATTATTGTAAAACTTATGTTTGACATGGTACTTGTGCAGTTGGTGCATAAATGTTCATGAATGTAATATCGCAACTTACAAGAATAGTTTAGGTAGTAAATTTCTTTGTATATTGAGCTTCGAGCTTCTGTATATTATTTGTTAATTTTTATGATATTGTATATACTGTATTAAATATTAAATATAAGAATATTTTAATGTATAAAATATTTTTATCTTTCCTGTGTTCACAATATCCCTACCCTTTAATCATATTTATTGCTTTGCTGCAATCTGATAGAAATAAAGAAATTCTTATCTATTTTTATACTTATTATTTCATGAATCACACTAATATAAAATGAGCTTTTATGAACTTTGATAAATTAACCTTTACTTCGTATTTTCTTAAATATTTTATCTGTCCAAATTTATAGGTACTTTTAAATACATCCTCAACCAAAAAAAACTACTGTTGTCAGGTCTAATGAAAAATATTTTATTTTAAAACGGTTATAGGTAATAGGAGATGTCTTAAAAAACTGATTGAAGTTATCACAATAATATGTTTTTGTTGGCACATTTGTTTAAATATATGTTATCTATTTGGGCAGAATACTTGCTAAAAAAATAATATGAATAGGTGTAAACACAACATATAATACGGTGTAAATATATTCATGTGCCATCATATCATTCATATTGGACAAGAGCTAGATGTTGGCTTTTTAATACCAGTTTTACAAAAGCCAAAAACACGAAATTTAAGAAATTATTTCATAGTAAGACAAAGACATGTACACTGTCTTTCCTTGTCAAAATTCATTCATAACATTGTTGTGCATTATTTTGGGTAGAGGGCGGCACCTCCTTGACGTAGTAATATTTTACGGTTGTACAACTAGGTGTAACTATATAAACAATGGTAATAGGTAGAAATGATTTTCGTGTAATGCATAAAGCTAAAAACTGTGTTAATAAGAGCGACTTATCTGCAACAAATGCAATATTTTATTCAGTAATTTCTATCACAGCACAGACACAGATCAAGGTAGGAGGTTAATTTTCTTAACAAATAGCACTAAAACCATTCAGAAAACATCAGTGCTCCTTTAAATGTATCTATTATATTTTTTTGTTATTTAATAAAATTAATTCTGTAAGTTATAAGCCTTAAAATTACCAAATAAATATTTTTAATCCTAAAGATGTACCAGAAGATGTGATAAGGGTAATTATTTACTTTAGTGGCACCACCTCCAATTTTCACGAAATTTTGTCTACCCCCCTATTTTCGATAGTGCTGAACACGAATTTGCAGCATTTTTGTGCGGTCGAACCTAGTTTTCAAGAAAAATTTTTTTCGAAATTCTAACCTGGATATTTCATATAACACTACATAGAACTCTGTATATTTTATGTAGCTTTCCAGAACATCTGTTATGAACAATTAACACTGTTCACGAAATACATTTTCGTAAATTTCAAGCAAAAAGATATGTATTTAATAAATAAAAATTTTGTAGTTTAAATCCGCCATTTGTAATTCGTGATGACAACATTGANCAATTTTTAGGTTAAGTTTTTTTGTTTTTACCCGCTACCGTTCGATTAGGTTCAAGAGACCCAAACACTCCAATTACTACGTCATCTTGCTCTGTGCCCGCTCTGCTCCTATAGAACTCGAACGCACCCTCAGTTGCCGCGACAGATTACTAGGTATCTAGGCAGGCAACCAATTCCCAAATTACATGACAGATCTGTCAGATTAGATACACAGGCTTATGTAATGTATCGGAAGATGAGTAATAGCATAAACAAAGTAATAGCACATATCTAAGTAATAGGTAGAAATGATTTTCGTGTAATGCATAAAGCTAAAAACTGTGTTAATAAGAGCGACTTATCTGCAACAAATGCAATATTTTATTCAGTAATTTCTATCACAGCACAGACACAGATCAAGGTAGGAGGTTAATTTTCTTAACAAATAGCACTAAAACCATTCAGAAAACATCAGTGCTCCTTTAAATGTATCTATTATATTTTTTTGTTATTTAATAAAATTAATTCTGTAAGTTATAAGCCTTAAAATTACCAAATAAATATTTTTAATCCTAAAGATGTACCAGAAGATGTGATAAGGGTAATTATTTACTTTAGTGGCACCACCTCCAATTTTCACGAAATTTTGTCTACCCCCCTATTTTCGATAGTGCTGAACACGAATTTGCAGCATATTTGTGCGGTCGAACCTAGTTTTCAAGAAAAATTTTTTTCGAAATTCTAACCTGGATATTTCATATAACACTACATAGAACTCTGTATATTTTATGTAGCTTTCCAGAACATCTGTTATGAACAATTAACACTGTTCACGAAATACATTTTCGTAAATTTCAAGCAAAAAGATATGTATTTAATAAATAAAAATTTTGTAGTTTAAATCCGCCATTTGTAATTCGTGATGACAACATTGAGCTTCCCCACTCTCATTCAACTCTGTTCATCCCACATAAAGTTACTATTATTTTATTTATTAAATACATATTTTTTTTAGTTCAAATTTGGGAAAATGTTTCTTAAACAATGTTCATTGTTTATTACAGATGTTCTGAAAGCTACATAAAATATACAGAGTTCTACGTAGTGTTATCTGAAATATTCAGGTTAGAATGTTGAAAATTTTTTTTCTCAAAAACTGGGTTCGAACGCACAAAAAAAACTTCAGATTCGTGTTCAGCACCATCGAAAATAGGGGGGGTAGACAAAATTTTGTGAAAATTGGAGGTGGTGCCACTAAAGTAAATAATTACCCCAAAACATAACAGCAACAAAATTAAGCCAGGAATGATATGCATAAAATTAAAACTATTATACAATGTGAAATCCAATTATTTTTGAGAGGTCTGAAAGTTTGTCTGGCGGGGATTGTCGTTCAACCTGACCAATAATTACACAGCAGCACTTTCTTGATCATTGCTTATGTGATTGGAATATGCAAGCTGGCTTTATACCTGATACGAGATGTTAAAAGGATGATAGACTGACAAAAAACAAATGGCAAACATTAATTCAGCGAAACAAGAATGGCTCACTGTGTCTAGTTCATTTTATTACATCTATTTTAGTTTTATTTTATCAGTTTACAAGGTGTTTGTAATTTGGCGACTTTTTTTTTACTAGAATCCAAATGGAATTTCTATAGTACATGTTGTGTTTTGTAAAGTTTGATGTTAAGATAAAATTTAAAGCAGTATTTATTGAAGCGTATTCAAATAGTATAAGTATATGACCTTACGGAGTTTTTTATTTCAGTATTTAGTGATGGTATTGCGTGTCTCTGTCTATACTTCTTAATTTCTGTGTGATATCATGGAAAACAAATCTAGAAATATGCAAATTGACAACTATGCATTATTTAAAAAAGGTCAGTTTTCACTACATAATTCGAGAAAACAAACTTATTCATGTGTTTCTATTTCCCCTATTCAAAGTTACACCCTGTCTTTTCAACTTTTAAACAATTTTTCTCAAAAAATTTGCGGAAAATTAGTATATATTCCATTTTATTATTTCAATTTTCAATTGTTTTCTACAAAATAGACATGCAAAATATTTAAGTTTCCATGTATCGTAGATATAAACACGAGCGGTTAATCACTATTATTGGCTGTTGTTGGCACTGTTAACTTAGTAACGAAACAAGAATGATTTCCACCTTCCTAAGTTTGCAGTAGAAACGTCATTATCTCACTTTTTGTGGAATATTGATGTAGTAGACAGAATAATAATATTTAGAGCTGTATGTTGTCTTCTTATGTTTGTATAACATTTTAGATAAAAATTTACTTGTGGAAACGACTCTATATTTCATTAGTTAGTTAAAGTATATGTCAAACATCTTCAGAGATATTTGAATAAGAGCCATTCAAAAGCCAGTGGCTTCAGACCATTGGAACAAGCTCCTGAAGTAATGACACTGATTTTAAAAACACCCCGTATATTACTATGTTTCAGGTTACTTCTAATTACAAGTACAAAATATGACATTTAAAGAAATGGATGGAGCCAGGTACGAAAAAGGTGGAGACGTAGGTAGCAAGGGCGTTGGATTCCAAATTGGCCTCCTGACGGTGTCTCTTCTGAATGCCCTGCAGAGAATCCGCAATTGGAGACTGTCTACGGAAAATAAACGGGCGGGAAAATTTGACGATGTGGTGCTGGAATGGCCAGAAGGCTCAGTTTTGCTGCAGGCTAAACACAAGAAGAAGAGGAAGATCACTTTGGAGGAATTGCTTTCTACTAACTCAAGAAACGACGATTTCAGTCTGCCCAAATATTTTCTCTCATACCAAGAAATCAAAAATTAATTTAAAGTGAAAAATGTGGTTATCTGTACTAATGCGAGTGTCCATGAGAGGGTCTTGGAATTTTTAGACAGTCGAAGAATATGTTCCTGAAGCATGTTATACTGCGCTGATGATGAGTATTCATTTTATAAGTTTAATGTAGAGATTTTACCTTGGTTTAAAACAAAGCGTTAAAATATATGTAGAAAAATATTGTCAATTTTTTCAACAACAGTCATAAAATGTTGATGTGACAAAAAGACAGTTTAGGTAACTGTATCGAAAAAGACTTTTGATCTAGGACACTTATTTAATTGAAAAAATTTTAGAATTCAAACTGATCAACTAGCATTATTTTCTTTGTTTGAAAATTGCAAATTGTGGTTCATTTCAGACGTGGAGGTAATTTTTTAAAATCATATATTCTATAGCTCCAATTAAGGTTGAAAAGTTATTTTTTGATTCAATTTTCAAGTATCGATGCTGATGGAGCAATTGAATGAAAATAAAATTCATTGATTCTTATTTTTATGCAAAGATGGATTATATTTAAATTACACCATCTTCATGTTTGGAGTGAAGTCAATCCTCGATGAGTCGGACCATCTTCCTTTCAGCAAGTTTAATAGAAATGTGTGGAAGGGTGTTTTAAGTAATAACCTCTGTGGACACCATATTGTGTCATTGTTGAAATGGGAATTTAATTCTGGAAAACTCCCCGATGTGCTTGAATATGTTCCCTTAAATTTTGCAAAGAGAGCTGGATGCAATTGGATGGTGCACTTGCACATTACGGAAGGCAAGTACGGCAGTTGTTGGATGAGAATCCTCGTCGACAGATTGAACAGCAACCCAACAACCACCCAAATGTGTGGATTTTTTGCGAAGGACCAGCGGCTTGGCCGCCACTCTCGCCAGATCTGAATCCTTTGGATTATTTCATTTATACACCAGTAAACACCCATAAGGAATTGATCCAGGATAAGGCATGCTTTTAATAAAATAAAAAACAATCCTGTTCAAATAGCAGCTGCGGTTAATACACTAGTTCGTCGATACCAAAATTGTATTGAGGCAGGAGAAATGAACTTTGAGCAATTATTGTCATTTTTTAGTAATTGATAAATTTGTTGTAAAGTAGTTGTTATTAAATTTATGTTCGAGGTTCTTGGCATTTTTTCATAGCACCAAAAACACTTGAAATAATACTTTCAAAAATGATTTTCACAAATGTCAGTTTCCACAAATCACTGAATTTTGTTTTTCATGGGTTGCTATAACAAAATTTACACGGCTGGGGCGCTATACTCATGAATTTCATTGAATATCAGAAATGAGGCAAAATGTTTCAAAATTAAAGCAAGGGCAAAAGGTGTGCAGCTGTTTTATTGAATTTAATTTTTTTGAAGTTTTGAAATAAAGTAAGAGGGGTGTAGCAAATTTCCGCTGTTGTTATTTCTTTTTCCTTTTAAAAGGAGATACTATTGAAGGAAGTGTTACAAATACATCTGTTGAATCTGCACATTCTATTGCTTGGAAAGACAAGTACTTTTAAAATTGGTGGTAAAATTTCAGAATTTTGAGGCTGACGGCAAAGGTCCAGTAGTTTTTGAAGTTGATGGTAAAGGTTTAATTTTGTCGCTACTCTCTTTAATACAAGGAATAGCCCCTTCTTTTAAGAGTGTCAACCTACCGGTTCTCATGATATCATCTCAAAGTGATCAGAACAAATAAACATAATTTTGATCATGTAATGCTTTCATCCCATTCCATGCCAAGGAGATTTATCCATTGATGAAATCTTGTTATTTTTAAGAAAACTAGAAAAAAGCACAAAAAGAAAACACAAAAAATATGTGTGAAACATATTTGAAAAGTAAGTTCTGAATTTGCAGGCAAGAATCGTCAAATGTTTTTGCAGCTTCTAACAAAACACAACATTTTCTTAATTTACAAAATATATTCCTTGAGACAAGTCAATAACACTAAATTCTCATAAAAACTATTGTTCCATTTAAAAGTAAAAGAGCGTAAATAACATCAAAAGCAATTCAGTAAACAACAAAATAAATTCAGGTTACTTCAGGTTTGACTGGTGATTTGCGAATTCCCTCTTGTGTACCGTCTCGTAGTCACACTCGTCACATTTGTACGTTTTAACTGTTATGATTTTTCCGAGCTTTAAATCACGCTTTATCCTCAAATTCTCCTCGGGATCAAGCAGTTTACTTCCGTGTAAGTATACGCATATGATTATGAATAACTAAATAAGAGGATTTTATTCTGTATCTTCTGTTGGCAGCAGCGGCAGAGTACGCTATCTGTAGTTACTGTGGTAAACGACACACTCGGAAACCACAAACCATAAAATAATTAAGGAAACTGCATAGGAAAACACAATTAGAGTAACCTCTAATTCTGTCTAATAGATGGCACTGCACCATAATGATGGCAAATTTAAAATAATAGAATACATTAATGAATAAAAAGTATTTCATAAGTAATACACAAAACAGCTGTTAATGGTTTGTTGATAATTAAAATTAAGATGAACCATTGACAGCGGTTTCATGACCCACTACTTATGAAACACTTTAATTAGGTATCACTTAGTTAAATGTAACAGGGCAGTGATTTTTAAATGTATGACAAAAAATATATAAATTCATTCCGTTGTGAATTCCAAAATATTTAAGTATCAAAAAATGTACATGGAGACTCTTGTTGTTATTATTTTTTTAAAGAAACCATTAAAAACTGCAAATTTTAAAATTATATTAAAAAATTATTTACCTGCTTTTATGTAAAATAATATTGCACAGTTACTTGCCAAAAATTATTTCGAATTCGAAATAATGGTCATGTATCTTTCCTAAACCTTGGAAGCATCTAGATTTATCGATTTCATAACACTACTGGCTGAATTTTGCTGTTTTATTCTGCGAAAATTTAATATTATTGTTATATAAATATATATATTTCTTGTATTTTTAAGCAAATGAGGAACATCAAAAATGGGAATAATTTCCTCGCCATTAACAAAGTGGATTTATTTGATGACTCGGAAACTAACTGTCTGATAGCTGATCTGTTAGTGGAACCTTGATCACAAACTGTACAAATTATTTTTTGTCCACAAGACTGCAATGCTGAAATAATTTCAATTAACAAAATTTTTAGGTCCTTTGTTTTTATAACGTCTTTTGTGAAATAATATGCAATAGGCTGCTTCCAATGTTTACTAATACCTTGCACCAAAAACACTAGAGCATGATTTGCTACCTTATTTTGTCTGCCCAGGGACCCAAGATTGACATATCCCGTTACTTGATCTTTACAAGTGTCATAATTTAGACCAACAGACAGAGCTATTTCATCAAATACAACAAACTTTATCTTTTGTAATCATTTTACTAACACGTTCTGATAATTTACGTAACAACTTTTCATTTATTCCAACATCTAAAGGTATTTGGCCTAAATATTTCCTTATGGAAGATTTAGAGGGCAGCACACAAAATTTCTTATACTCATATGGGTATACGATGTGGTCCTTCAGAACGGGTTTGTATATCGTTTCATAGGCGCAGTACAGGCACTTGTGCATCTTTACCTCGGAGTAACTTTTATGTCATATTTGGTGTTTCATAAGACTGCTCTTTTGTTTCGCTTCGTAATCACATTTATACAAGAGTAGTTCCGACGGCTTTTTGTATGATAACAGGTGTACCTTAAGCGAACTTTTCTCAATGCTCTAAAATCACACTCGTTACATCTGTGTCGTTTCTCCCCTTTGTGCCTCAACTGGTGATCAGAAAACTTCGACTCATTCAAGATCGTGAAGTCGCGTATCTTGCAGGTAAGCTTTTTAATAGATAACGGCTTATCGAGTCTCAACATATGCATTATCTTCGTGGCTTCCTGGAGGTCGAGCAATCTTTCTTCATGGACGAAGATGTGATTATTTCCCACTTAGATTTAAACTTGAACTGGCAATAAATGCACTTGAATATTTGCTTTTGGGAAGACTCTTTGTGTGTCAACATGTGGTCTGTAAGAGTGCTTTTGCAATTGGTTTTGTGAATGGTGGTATAATCACAAATATCACATTTGTACATTTGCACCTCGAGCGCCTTGTGTATCAATTGATGAATTACTAGGCACTTCTAGCTCGCAGTTTTGTAACCAGACTTTCCACACTCATGTACTTTTTTTCTTGGGGGGTGACTCAGTTCTGCTACACATGTCTTGGGTATAGGTTTGCTCTCTTTTATTGTAGAAATGTCATCACGTGCTGAACTATGGGGCAAAAGTTCCATAGATGCACCACTGAAAATTGTAAATTCAAAGTATTAACAAATTACAAAGGAAATACTATGATTAAACTAGTTAGTTAAAAAAGTTATGCTAAAATTTGTACACTTATTTAAAAATGCAGTTATAATTACAAGTGTTTATGTATGTGTTCAGCTGTATTTGAAAGTATGTATTTAAAGGTGAATTTATTTTTTATTTTTTGGTTTATTATAACCACAGATGTCTTTTTATTAAAATAAAAGTATAACTATCAGAATTTATTATCCAATTTGCAAAGGTCTTACAAAAAAAAATGATCCTTATATTTTTAAAATCTGCATACTATTTAATTTTTTATCACTTTTGATTGAATCTTTTTAGTTTAAAATGATCTAAAGGACCTCTTAAGTTATGACATGGATCACAGACTTACAAAACACCTATATTAATTAATAAAATACCAACATCTTAAAACAACTTTGAATAACATACCTCTCACGTATCATATTCTGATTTTATATCAATGTACTCAATTTTAATAGTGGTTTCATCTTTGTCCTTTGATTTCTCTCCAATAGAATTACTTGCAATCAAATTCTCATACTCATTTTTTTCAAGTTTTATTCCGATCTCTTTAGTTTCAACGCACGGATTAAGTGCTGACGTCCAGAGAGAGCCAGGAGGAAAACATTTTATTTTTTCCTCTATTTTCAAGCAATTCTTAATAAAATTACTGTGGGTGCCGATAGAATCAAAGCATTGCTTGCAAATGGTAGGATTTTCGGTTATGTTGAAGTTCTACAAAAACAACGGTTTAGAACAATAATTGAATACACAATATTTTCGATTAAAAACTAAATCGATTCTACTTAAAAAAATATAATAGAGATTACTCCATCATATTTTTCTATTCAATAAACTTTATATTACAGATTAGGTCAAATAAAATAGAAAATGAAAACTTTTCTACTATTCCATGCTGACTCATTTATTTACTTCATTAAAAATTTTTATAATTTATTCTTTCACCTCTAAATTCTGAAATAAAAAAATATATTACTTATATAAGTAACTATTTCCATATATTTATGGTACATATCCCCTTTTATATTATTCTGTTTGTTTTCTCTGCATACATTTATTTTTATATAGGTACTAAAACCATAATTTATTTTCAAATGGATTTTTTATAAGTAACTCCATTTTTTTATTTCAATATATTAGTTATGAATAATAAATTTAATATCAATCCACATTCTACAAAATTATTAAAAATATACAATCATTTTAAAAAACGAGGTACCTATATAAATTTTTCAAGCATCTTTGTTCTTCCATAAACTTCCTATTTATTCTATAAATAATTGATATTTTGCTCTATTATTTTGTATTTTGCAGAAGCGCAGAATAAGTGATTTTTAAAGTATTTCATAATTTTTTTTGCAAATTACACAATCCTTTCTATACTCCGCGGTCGAAATTATAAAGAGTGACTAAGACATAATATAAAAACACTATTACCATAATGCGTATAAAATATAAAATGATTTTTATACGGTTCAATATTATTTATCTTTGTGCCGCTCGCTATGCACATCGATAGAATCTATAATCGTCTAGAGACCGAGTTACACTGAACGTCGATCTATATTCTATCTGTCTTTTGCACTTGGTAGGGAATAGGGAAATGCTTTTTTAGTGGGTGTAAACGGACCTGATTTAACCCGTTCTGAGAAACGTCATAGCATAAGCGCAGACGAGGGGTCTAATTCCATGGCTATAATAAATTTATAAATTAAAAAAACACAAGTGGGACGTTTTAAAATGCTGTAATAATTAAAATGGATCAAAGTGCCTGTTATAGCAAACCGTGAAAAATATTAGATGTTATGTTTTATTATCTTTTTTCATTATTTTCTATATCTTGTTACCTTTTACGCAGACACGCCAATGGATTTTTGTTCCCGGCACGCTTCATCCCCCTTACTAGTCCAAAAGCTAGCAATGAATCACTCTCTATAATTTCGACCGTGGAGTATAGACAATTGCCAATAAAATAAAACACATTTTCTTAATACAAATATCCCAGTGGTCCTGGTAAAAGTATAGTACATACTGGATAAAACTTTCATAGCACTGGCTTACTTACTATTTCTGGAATATATTTGTTGATCACATTAACATCTACTTCTTGTACCGATATAAATTCTCCCTCGATTATCTGAGTACATAATCGACATATTTTGTGATCTAATGTGGTGATTAATTTTTCTTTTCCTTTTTTCTTTGCAAAAATGTCTCTTAAATCAACAGAATATCCTGTTTCGTCATTGACATAAGGAATTATGGTATTATCAGGGTACAGACACATTGACTTAAATTTAAATGCTTCCATTACTTTTAACGAACAAGAATTACAAACTATTTGTTCACTTTTGAGATCCTGAAATTTAAATTATATGTTAAATATTTGTCATGAATAAAAATTAAATTTTCGGTATGATTCTTTGCTCCAAAATATCGACCCTTTAGTACGAAAACATGCTATCTCAGATTTCGATTGGAAAATATGCTATCTCAAATTTCGGTTGGAAAACATGCTAGCTCAGATCTTAAATATTCCTTATTTTTAGAAAAATATATTATATAAGTTTATTATAAATGCACGGTTTCAATCATTCCAATTTCATGCCAATTTAAATTTCTAGTCAAACTGAGATAGCATGTTTTTACTTAAAGATCTGAGTTAGCATGTTTTCCAAGCTTAATTTGAGATAGCATGTTTTCCAAACGAAATTTGAGATAGCATGTTTTCATACTAAAGCGTCGATATATAGTCTAAAAACCTAACATACCAGTTTCAATAAAATGACGTCTAAAATATACCTCATAACGTCATTTATTTCTTCAAAATGTTCATCATTTATAATATCGAGACACAGCCTGCAAACCTGTTTCCCAAAATTATCCATTTTTCTTAGCATTTTTCTACAACACAGATTTTAGATCTCACTTCTCACTCTAAACAAATGAAATAAATGATATAAACAAAAAAAAAACAAAAAGTGACATTTGCTTTGCAGAATATGCTTGGATCCGTATGCAAGCATGCGTGATCATCACGTATATGCGAAACTTGGTCCATCCACATGCAACGCAATATTCTCGGATAAGCTGTCAATCACCCTGTATATAACAATGAAGCCTTCATTCCTGGATGTTAAGATTTAAAAAAAGTCTAAATATATTCTGAACAAATGAGAATGTTGAAATAAATTTTTTTTTACATAAAATGATATGCATTGTGAAAAAATCAAATGTCAAATAAAACTAGTGGCAAAGATATTGTAAAATTGTAGCAGTTATGTGAAATTTGGAACATATATATGGTACCTTGGCATCTCTTCTGGATGTGCCATTGATAATTAACTTTGAAATCTTAAATAGGAACCCCCATTTTTTATTGCAGATTTGAATTCTACGGCTAAAAGCACTTAGGATTTGTCTAAAACATTCATGATACTACTGTAATCGTCGAAAATAAATTTTGGCTGGTGAATAAACCACTTTTAGCTTAACTAGGAACAACGACGTGGACATAGTAGTTTCTTGTTCCTTTCGGGGTGTTTGATTAAAATGAGTTGTTCCTTAAAGTTATTTCTTTCTATGTACGATTATTTTGTGTTTTTGCAGTTACAAAAAACACGCAGAAAAAATAACACAAACGTAATGTAAACATAAAATATTTTTATAAAAATTATTTTAACAAAAGATATTTAAAATACATAAATTTAAAATACATATTTTTAAAATAAAATACAAAAAAATACATTCATTTGAAAGCATATTTAATCAAGCATTCCGAAAAATAAGCAAAGAAAATCGTATTAACCAAGTCCTGTTCCTGGGTTACGATAATAGTAGTGTTTTGACAAGTCATTTTTCAGTAAGTAATTGAAAATTTGAGAAATAAAATTTCTTTTTGGACTGATTCTGATTGTTTATAGTGAATGCATAGGTTCTCAGGAGAAATCAAAAAAATTGAATTTCATTGATTACAGCGTCATCTATCATGAATCGAAAAAATGTTTCACACAAATTCTACGCACTTTTAGCTGTAGAATCCAAATCTGCAATAAAAAATAGGGATTTCTATTCAAGATTTTAAAGTTACCCTCCCTACCCCACCTACAAAGACACTAGGGAGGAATAATTTTAGCACTAACGTACTCCCTTTTTTTCGTACAGTGCTGCTTATTTCTCAAGATATTTGAAAGTTTCAGGTTAATAAAATCAGTCAGAATTTTTGCTATTAATTTTATAGCAAATTCGTTATTAAGTACAGATACCACTAGATTTCAAAAATATGTCAAATATTTATTATAGTGTTTTGGAAAAAGGTACCATAAATTCAGGAGCTGTTACATCAAAATCGAGATCAAAATATAATATTTTTTCCTTTGGATTACGGGTTTATCCGTTTTGCTTTTGAGACATACAGGGTGTTTCAGAAAGACCTCCCGTAAATACAGGGTGATAGTACGACAAAAAATTAGAATTTTTTGTCTTATGAACTATGTATATGTCTATCTCCTCATGTTTTCGAGATACAGAGCGACAAAATTACATTTTTTAAATAGAATTTTTATGAAATTTTTTTGGATATTTCACAGAGGGCGCTAGTTATGCTACATTCCTATTACATTTTAAGTTCTAATTTTTCTAAGGTTAGGTTTTTACCATTCGGGCTCCAAATTGTAATGTATAATTTTATTTTATAAAAATTATGTACTCTTGTTAGAACTCTTACAATATTACCGTGTATAAAATAAGTGACTTCTCAAAGTAGGCTAATGTCAAAACTTATTGATGGATGTCTCATAAACAATGCATACATTCTTAGTAATATTTTAAACTCTAATTAACTTTATATCAACATTTTAGTGACTGTAATTAGTCATTACTAACTAGTCACTAAAAATGACTCAAATACCAATATAGAAATTATATGCACTTGTTGGGGTTAGCGATAATTTAATTTTTATTACCAATATGCAAGTAACCAATAAGGCGAGCAATTTTAGAAAGATATACCCATATAGGGTATTCGGAAATTATGAGGAAATATTTCAGGATGATTCTAAGGCAAAAAATAGGACAAAAATTTCATATAATTAGAGGTCAACAAATGGACCCTAAGAGAGCCTCAGCCTTCAACCCTGAAAAAATTACATTCGTTTAATATTATCGAAATGGTTCGAGGTAAACTAATGACATTTTGAACACTCAATCAGCCTTTTATGCAGAATTTGAAAATGTACACGATATTTATCCATTTTATTTAGAGGTGTACTAAACAATTCTGGCTTACGAAATTTTTGGCACTAACTTTTTTGTTAAAAATTCTTTTTGCAATTGGACTACAGAAATTCATAATCTAATGCTTTTTATATTAAAAAGGTACTCTTGTTCAATGAAATGCACCATTTTTGAGTAAAATAGACTTTAAATAGTATATGGAATTGCTACGCAATGGGGGCTTAAGTGCTGTAGCTATTGAAGCTACCCTCCCTAGAATTCATGATTGCTACATAACGTACAAATATATCAAATTTTTCCAACATATGTCTAGTTTTCATGAAAAAGAACACACAAGGCCATCTTTGACACATTAGGTTCATTTGCAGAGCAGTTAGAAGTTACAAAGAAAATATAAAAGTAAAAGTAAATAATTCAATGAAATATTCACTTTAATTAGAAAATAATCTTACATTTACTAAATTTTGTTATTGCATTCCAGAAAAATTTTTCATGTAAAATTTTTTGTAGGTAACTCAAGAAAAACTGTACTTTACCTACACAGGAATTCACAAATGAAGTAGGTCGATTGTTTTCAAATTTGGCACAGTTTTTTAATTAAGTACGTATAATTTTTTCTAATACATTATTTCCACATCTTTATAGAAAATCCAATTTTACCTAAACAAAAAATTAGTTTTGGTTCCTGGCTTCTTGTCTTTTTTTAATAAAATGTAGTTATCATAAATTACTTTCTAATCAAGCAGGGTTGGATCCCCAAATGTCACATACAAATTAATAATTTGAATATGTAGTAATCTGAACTCACCTGTTTCGTCGTTTTTGGGCCAATCTTCGGTTTTTCCTTTTTGTAGACAGATTTAACTTTCTCGGTCTTGATTTCTGATTTCTTCCCATCTTCAAATTTAAGACCGCTACAAACAAAAACTAACATCAACACCTTAACCTTAAATTGAAATAAACCAGTACCATAGACTTAATACATATAATAGGCATTAGGCAAGTTCATGAAGCAGCGCGCGCCATTATTCTATGGCTAGAAATTGGCCTCAATGATTTGGGATCGAGGGGGATTATCCCTCTTTATCCTGCCTCATCTCGTGTAGGCCTGGACAGCCTTCGTAGGTGGGCCCCATCCGTCGTCTACCCCGACCGCAA